CCACTACACTCCAGTCTGGGCGACAGAGTGAGACTCCAACTCAAAAAAAAAAAAAGAAATCAATTTTTCTTCCTTAAATATTGTTCTAGCATTTATTATGAAATTGACTGCTTTATTAGGTCCCATTCATCGGAAGAAGATTATGGGAGTGGGAGGCGTGGCTCTGGAGGTGATTGCGAAGCCAGCTTGGGATTCGGTTATTAGCCAAGGCAACCCCAGAGCATCAGGAGAGTTGGCAAAGCGGGGTCTGTTCATCAGGGCTCTGGCGGGAGATGGGTGCACAGTCAAACCAGGTGAGGAGAATTTAATGAAGGGATTCTTTACAAAGGTGTGGGCAGGAACGAGGTAAGTGAGCTGGGTTTGGGTAGCAGCTTGGGGATAATAGTGGCATGGAGTGGCTGCCAGCCCTTGGCCTGGAATTACTGGAACTGGAGAGAAGCTGCGAGGAGAGGACCATCTGATGGGAGCTGTGCTTTGAGCCATGGATGTCGCCAGATCACAGCGACCTGGCAGGGAGGGAGCCATGGGATAAGTGCTCCGACTTCACCCCCTCCTGCCCTCGTGTCAGGGTCTCTTGTTGCCTGAACCCAAAGGGTAGACAGAGGGCTGGGAAGCTGTCACTGTGGGCACAGAAAGAACTCAGATGAGTGGTGCTCAGGGCTGCCTGATGCTAAGCTCTTCAGAGGTCAAAGAGAAGGAAGCATGTCCCCAGAGTGGAGCTTCCTGGAGGGTGTGTTTATCAGTCTCTCCCTGCCTTTGTGCCTTATGTTGTCATCCTCTGACGTCTGTCTGAGACTGACTGTTTCTTATCCGAGTCCTCAGTGTCCGCGTTCAGGAGGTGGCCTTCATGTGCTTGTTGGGTTGAAGGAGCCTTAACCCGAGCCTTACCTGCCTTCCTCAGGTCATTCCTGGCCTGGCGCCCCAGCCCCGGCACCCCTCTCCAGGGAGGGAGTCACAGCCAATGGGTCCCCTAACCCACACTTTGTATTGTAAGTCTCGCCTCAAGCTGAGGCTGCCGCCTGTCTCTGGAGCAACAGCTCTTGCACTAAAGGCAGTCAAGACTCTGGCTCTGAGTTCCTGGGCCTGAGTTTTTGGAATATCAGTGTCAGCCCTGTTGTGTTGTCTCGGATGACGGGCTTGGACTCCCAGCCCCCTTGGGGTCATAAGAACTCCTTGTATATTTTAAAAGCCTTCTCTTTCTTGGCTGCTTGGGATTAGTTGTCATCCTAATTGCAGAAACAGCTTTGGACGAGTGTGTTGTGCAACTGGACCCAGACGACAGTGAAGGAGAGCCAAGGGTAATGGCAAGATGTGGGGAGGGGGTGGCTTACGAGGAGGAAGCCCAGCTGCCTGAAGCCCAGACGTGGCGACTGTCAGAAATTTGACTGTTGGACTGTGCAGGGTTGGGGCTCCAACGAGAGTACCCCGAGACTCACGCTGGCCGTGAGGCCACGCTTGGCTTACAGAGTTCATTGTCTGAGTCTGGTGATGCCTGCTTATGCCCTGGCTGCCTTGGTCACCCTCTGCCCTGGACCAGGCTGGGCTATGGCAGGATGAGGGACACCCTGGGCCACAACTGGTGGCCCTGCGGCCCAGCCCACAGGGAGCACATCTTCCCTTGGCAGCCAGAACCAGAGTGATTCCAGGCTATGCTTTCCCAGCACGAGGTTTGAGTTCACGGAGATTCTAGACTCCAAACAGATGTTTCTTCTGTTCCCAGCCTGGTGGGGTGTGTGTGTGTGTGGGGGGGAGGTTTGCGGGTGGTGAGGGAAGCTGGTCCAGGTTTTGCCTGCTTTTTCCCCAGAATAAACAGCGGGGTAAAAACCTTGGCCTTGCCTCCCTGTGGCCTGAGCCTGCTCCCGGTGGGGAGGATGATCTGATGAGGCCGCTGAGATGCTGAGAAGAGTTCTTGATTTTCTGCTGACTCGAGGGGGTGGGGAGAGGCGTCCACAGCAGGCCTGTGCTGGGAGCTTGCTCAGAGCCTGGGAAGGCGCCTCCCCCACAAGCCATCCGGGAATTTATCTCCCAGGTACTTGGGGGAGAGGGCTGGAAAGACAGGCTTGGCAGCCTGGAGGCCTCTCGGGAGGACAGCTGCTTGGATCACCTCACTTCTTGGACAATAGGCTGGTTAGAAAAGCTGGCAAGAAAACACAGGGACACCTGCTTGAGGATACTGGCCACCAGTGTCTTAAACTGATATTCTTCAGGTTTGACAGCCAAAGCCCAGCAGACACGCGGGCAGTTGAAAGACACCCAGAGTCACGCAGGCAACAGGACAGTGCTAGGAAAGACAGTTTTGGGAGTAGGCAGTGTGGGAAAAGAAGCCTGGGGTCCGATGAAGGCACAACCTTGGAAAGGGAAAGGGGCCAGGCTTGGTGGCTCAGCCTGTAATCCCAGCACTTTGGGAGGCCGAGGCACATGGATTGCCTGAGCCCGCAGGTTCGAGACCAGCCTGGGCAACTTGGTGAGACCTTGTCTCTACAACAAATCAAAAATTAGCCGGGCATGGTAGTACATACCTGTAGTTTTGGCTACTTGGAAGGCTGAGGCTGAGGTTGATGCTGGGGTGGCCATGAGTGTGCCACTGCACTCCAGCCTAGGTGACAGAGTGAGACTCCAACTCAAAAAAAAAAAGAAAAGAAAAGGGAAAGGAAGACCTGGGATTCCAGACCATGGGTCTGTCTTGCATCAGGAAGCAGACGTTTCCAGACCCTTCCATGAGCAAGTGCCTTTAAGGCACGAAGACACATCAGGGATAGGGATGTTTGGAGTAAAAGTAGTGTGTGCTGCTCCTCCCCCCTGATAATTTATGGTCCCAGAGATTCCCGGTGGCCTAATCTGTGTGAATGATGCGGTGTTGACAGTATAGCGAGCTTCCCTTGCCTGACAGGTGTTCAGGGCCTGGAACGAGGGAGGACCAGCCCCTTTTATGGAAGGGGCTGAGTCGGGCGGGCGCCTGACCCTTCCGCACCCTTCCTCCCCACCTCCCTGCAGAGGCAGAGTGCAGGACGTGCAGCCTGAGGTTTCCCACTTGCCCTGCGGGGAATGTGTCCTGCTCTCGGGTTACGCCCGAGCAAAAGGGGCTTCCAGGCTATTTGTAGTGCCCATGTGTCTCTGTCTAAAACCAGACAGGAGGCAGTCGTCCGAGCCCTGGCATCCTAGTCTGTATTTAGAACAGGCTTAAAAAAATTAAAATGACCCCCTGGCCCCTCCTCTTTTACAGGCCAGCCCTGTGGTCCCTGAAACCCTTTAAACTTTTTCTCTTCCTCCAGAGGGGTAGGGCTTAAGCAAATTCGCTTTAAGGGTGGTAGTTGGCCCATGTCAACCCAGGTTCTTGCTGTGTGGTGCCATGTGAAGGAATTCGTACTGTCTCATTTGGATTTTTCCATGTTAGAATTATTTAAAACAAACCTGTATCATTTTTACAAAAGGAGTTTTTTTAAAATTTAAAAGGCAATTGAGATTGCTAATATTTTGAGAGTTAAATATTTTTTGAAAAAGCCAATGCTGATCATCACTATCTTTTTCTCAAATTCTGTCTCTCGAGTTTTGTTCAACCTGTGTCTGCAGCTTCTAGGAATCTTCCCCATACAGGTTGAATATCCCTTATCTGAAATGCCTGGGACCAGAAGTGCTTCGGATTTCAGATTTTGGAATATTTGCATTATGCTTATCCGTTGAGTATCCCAAGTTTGAAAATCAGAAATGCTCCAAAATCTGAAGCATTTTTGAGCACTGGATATGATGCTCAAAGGAAATGCTCACTGGAGCATTTTGGATTTTGGAATGCCAAGTGCATGCCATTAGGGTGTCCGAGGGAGAATGCTCTCTTTGCAGGGACAATCTGATGTGGAAGGCGGGTGCTCTTGAGCATCTAGTGGGGGAGGTAGAGGGATGTTCTTTGCCTGTGGAAGGGAGAATTTGGAGCTCCCTGGATGAGGGGCAAGGGTGGTCGTGGGGAAGGAAAGAAAGGGCCAAGAGAGGGAGGCTGCATGTTATGTGTTGTGTCCTCTTCCCTGAGCTTAACTTGAAAATTACAGTGGGGTGGAGTGGGGAGAAATGGATTGTGGCCGACTGCCCCAGTTGCCTGCTGGGGAAACCAGCACCAGGGCACAGCCTCCGCTGCCATTCTGACTGCCACCCTGATCTCGAAGTCTTGCTTCCTGGGTAGGGGGGTCATTATTGGAGGATAAATGCAGCTTCTGGAATGAAGAAGGGAGTCAGCTTGCTCTCCTCTGCATGGGTTGGACAACACCTGGAAAATGCCGGCATTTCCGAGTGCCTCCTATGAAGTAGGCTAGAGAAACTAGAACTAGTTCAGAGGAGCTGGTCTAAGGTACCCTGGGGGGTGGGGTGGGGGGGATAGTTATGGAACCAGAGGTATCAAGTTTCAGGGAAGGATGTAGAGTGAAGATTTTCTTCCCATATGTGAAGGGCTCTTCTGTGGGGGGTGCAGAAGATTAACCCGAGAATAAATAGCCTTGTGGGGCTGGGTGCAGTGACTCACACCTGTAATCCCAGCACATTGAGAAGCTGAGGCGGGAGGTTCGCTTGAGCCCAGGAATTCAAGACCAGACTAGATAACATAGTGAAACCTCATCTCTACAAATAAATAAGAAATAAGCCAAGGGTGGTGGCGCGTGCCTGTAGTCCCAGTTACTCAGGAGGCTGAAGAGGGTAAATCGCTTGAGTCCAGGAGTTGGAGGTTGCAGTGAGCTGTGATTGTGCTATTGTACTCCAGCCTGTGTGACAGAGTGAGACCCTGACTCAAAAACCAAAAACAAACAAATAGCCTTGTGAGACTGACCAATAGATGGAAAGTACAAAGAGGCAAAAATAAGCATAAGAAACTTTCTCATGGCCAGAACCATCTGTAGAGCAGTTTGAACTGTCCTTGGAAGAAATTAGGTCCCCTTTCCTGGGACCCTGAGGTGAGTAGGCTGAGGCAGGGCCTTTGCAGAGATGACTGGTGCTTCTGATGGGCGTGTTTGGATGGGATGATGTGTGTGTTCCCTCCCATGGCGGAGGTCTTAGAGTTCTAACACTGTCCTCATTTAACGTGCGGGGCCACTGAGGCCGCTGCTGTCAGTGCTGATAACCTGAGCACATGTGGCGTCTGCTGACACACACCTGGGATCCTCTGAATAGCAGGCCTGGGAAGGAAGGTGCGTCCCTGTGCAGCAGGTGAGGCTTGCACCAGATGCTAAATGACAGCCCAGGAGGTAAACTCGGGTCCCTGGCTTTGCTGGGGAACTCAGATCCTCAGTCTTTCCCATCAGCAAAGCATCTTTACATGCCTGCCCTCATCAGAAGGCCGACTTCCCTGACACCGAGCCCTGGTCTGGCCTATCCTGGAGAGAGAGGGTACCTGCTCATTGTGCCAAACCCATGCATCACCCTCTGAAGCTGTTGGATTCCCTTATAGGCCACCCGCTACAAGCCCGAGGGGGAGGCGGGGATAGGATCCGGGACAGATGTCTCCATTTCGCCTTGACATTTGGTTTCTGATAGGAGGCCTGGCGTCCGGCCAGCTCAGCAGTGCAGGGCCCAGTGGTGATGTTACAGTCTTTGTCTCTGGAGCACACAGCCCAGGAAGCTGCCCCCTGTCCTGGTGCAAAGTGCTGAGTGTATTGGGCCTAACTGGCTCACAAGCTCTGGGGGTGAATCAGAGGAGTCCTCACTTGCTCACTGGGGTCTCCGCTTTGGCTGGGCTCACTGGGGAAGGAGGTATATAAAGACACACTGTGAAATCACAGTCTCCCAACAAACCTGCCAGGAGGGAGGACAGAGGTGTTATCCCGATTTTCTGCTGAGGACATTGATACAAAAAAGTGAAGTGATTGGGAGTGTCAGGGTACAAGTTGCCTATTTAAATTTCACATTTGGCCCCTTTTCTCTATGATCTACTCTGCTTCTCAAAGCAAGACCTGATCATCAAGACAGCAACAATAATATTATCTAATGTTTGTTGAGTGCTTTTTATGTGCCAGGTGCTCGTCCAACAGATTTACATGGATTAGCTCATAATCCTATACCACTCTGCAGGATGGATATTATTCGAAATGGAGAAACTGAGGCCCGGAGAAATTAAGTGTGTTGTCCAAAGTCATATAGCTAGTAAGAGGTGGAGCTGGAATTTAAACCCTGACAATCATATACTTATTGATGGAAAAAAAACAAAACAAAAGACTGGGGACCCCTGGAACTACAAAAGTACACACAGCTGCTGAAGGAAGGGCTCTGACAATTGGACTGAGTACAATTATGTTTGCCCTTTCGATTCTGCCAGATAATGTCAGGCCGACTCCAGCTGGTGCCCAGGGAACCAGGCATACTGAACGGAGTCAGAGGACATGGGGGGCGTGTTGCTTGGCATTCCAGAGGCTGTCTGTTGTTATTTCAGGACTTGGTGCTGAGATGAGCAGTGCGATGTGTCTTGACTATAGATATTCATCTTCCCACCTCCAAGAGGCCTCCCTCTGAGCCCCAGTGAAAGGCCACCAAGTACACATGAGCCTACACCAGCAAGCCGAAAGTTCAACCAGTGTTTTCCAGGACGAGAGGCACAGGGTCTAGGGCTTCATGGGTGGGGTGACAAATGATTTCAAATATTCTGTTAAGCAGCCAGTTATGACCCATTAGTAGATTGTAAAATCAGTTTAATGCTGCATGACTAGCATTTGAAAAAGAGGGTGCAGAGATAAATAAACACAAAATATAGGGAAAATATTGATAGTAGTAAAGGTAAGTATTTCTGTGAAACTTGATTTCCACATGCATGTGAAAATGTGTGGATTTGTTTTTTGCTTTATTAGTTTTACGTTTATTTATATAGTTCATACTAGTTTTCCATATGCTACTCATATACATTTTTTTTTTTGAGTAGGAGTCTCACTCTGTCACCCAGGTTGGAGTGCAGTGGCACATTGCTCACGGCCACCACAGCCTCGACCAACTGGGCTCAGGCAATCCTTCTGCCTCAGCCTTCCAAGTAGCTGGAACTACAGGCACGCACTACCACACATGGCTGATTTTTTTTTAAAGTTTATTGTAGAGACAAGGTCTCTACAATACGGGTCTCTACAATACAGATTACAGGCTTTAGCCACTGTGCCCGGCCAATTTTTTTTTTTAAACTTAAGTATAATTTCACTTAAAATTTATTTATTTATTTATTAATTATTATTTTTTCGAGTTGGAGTCTCACTCTGTCGCCCAGACTGGAGTGCAGTGGCTGCTCCCGGCCACCGTAGCCTCAACCTGCTGGGCTCCGGCGATCCTTCCGCCTCAGCCTTCCAAGTAGCCGGAATTACAGGCATGCGCTACCATGCCCGGCTGATTTTTTGATTTATTGTAGAGATGAGGTCTCGCCTGCCCAGGTGGGTCTCGAACCCGCAGGCTCAGGCAATCCACTCACCTCAGCCTCCCAAAGGCGCGGGATTATAGGCTGAGTCACTGAGCCTGGCTTTCACTTAAAATTTAAATAAAGTATGCCAGGTGTGATGATGCATGCCTGTAGTCCCAGCTATGCTGGACACTGAGGGTGAGAGGATCCTTTGAGCCCAGGAGTTTGAGGTTGAAGTGAACTAAGGTCGTGCCATTGCACTGGAACTCTGGTAACAGAGTGAGATACTGCTTCTTAAAAAAAAAGTTAAATAAAGCAAGTCTATTTAAATAAAAATACAGGCTGGGCTCTGGGAGGCCGAGGCAGGAGGATTGCTTGAGCCCAGGAGTTCAAGACCAGCCTGGACAATATAGTGAGATATTTTCCCTACAAAAAATATAAAAATTAGCCTGGCATGGTGGCAGTCACCTGTAGTACCAGCTACCTGGGAGGCTGAGGCAGAAGGATCACCTAAGCCCAGGAGGTTGAGGTTGTGGTGAGTCGTGATCATGCCACTGCACTCCAGCCTGGGTGACAGAGTGAGACTCCAACTCAAAAAGTAAAAAATAAAATAAATAAGTAAAAATATGAACTGTATAGGAGGTTCATGGATACGGAAGTTTGGGAAGCTGCATTAGACTTGGTGACTCCCAAGATTCTGCCGGGTTTATCTGTATCCCCTACTGGTGGGCCCTTGGGAACCTCTGGCTCCAGGCCAAGTTCTATTCTTGGGATGGTGGCGATGGCCCTGTTGCAGCCATGGGGCTGGTGGATTGCTAGGATCGTCCTAATAGGGCTTCTGTGTTTCAGGAATCTGGCCAACTGTGAACGCCTCATCGAAGTGGAGGACATGATGGTGATGGGCCGCAAGCCAGACCCTATGTGTGTCTTTACCTACGTTCAGTCACTGTACAACCACCTGCGGCGCTTCGAGTAAAGCCCTTGGGCCTGGAGAGCTGGAGGGCAAGCCCAGGAGGAGACTGAGGGGACTGCTTGCATTCCCCGAGTCGGGATGGCCCCTGAAGAGTTGTCTTTTGCAGTGAGCGTGCTATTTGTTCTGTGGTGTGTGACTCCGCTCCCCTTCGTGCCCAGCTGTGTTGCTGATTAAAAGCACCGCTGAGCTGTGCTCTGACAGTGCTGACCACAGCCACAGGCTTGAAGGAAAAGAAAAAAGAGAGAGAAATTGGTGCTAAGTAATGACCTTCTTAAAGAAATGCTTGTCTTTGTAGATTCCAGAATGCTAAATTACGATTTTCCCTCTGGTGGATTTGATACGTCGGCTTTACAGGGTTACATTGATTACCAAGTGTTTTTTATCAAAATATCCAGAGTTTTTTACTTCCTCACACTATTGTAGGCTCCTTTCCTCCCTCCCTCTGGGCCACTGCCAGGAAACAGAGACCGCTTAATCAGCAGCTTGACAAAGAAGAACGAAGTCTTGGGAAGAAACAGTTTAATCACTCCCAAGTCCTGGGCAACAGATGACCTTCAAGTCACCTCCGCTCTCTGGGGGAGATAGGAAGGCTCTTGCCTTCATCCCAAAGTGCTCCTGTTCTTCCCAGGAGGCCCCACAAGTGTTTGGCTAAGAATAGGCTCTCCAGAAGTTAACACTTTTGGGGAAGGATAGGCCCTTTGTGCTAAGAGAGAGTTTTTCCTGACATCTTTTTTAGGGAATTAGCTGGAGATATTTATAAAAAGTAACTCCCTCTGTACCACTGACCCATTTGTACATAAAAAAGATGTGTTGACCTTTGCTTGGGATCTGTTATTTCTGTTTGGGAGATGTGGGTTCTGTGAATACGAGGCTTTGCACATCTTCCAAATGAAGACCTACTGAAATCTCACCCTGTTTCTGTACTTAAATTGCTTGCCTGGAAAGTTGAAAATGACATTTGCTGTCTGTGAACTTGCCTGCCAACTACTCATCTCCATGTTCTGGAAGGAGCGTGAACAGAAAGTCTCCCCTCGAGATCTATCCTCTGGATATGGACTTCAAGATCTCTGATAAACAGTGGCCTGGGATAGCAGGTTTTGGAGCGGTCCTGTACTTGGAGGAAGCCCATCAAGGAGTGTTGGTTTATTCACAGCTGTTTGATGGTGGGATTTTAATAGAAAAATCTTTAGATTTTATAAAGTCCCAGCCATTAGCTTACTATTGGTCAAGAATCATTTTATGATTGGGTTGGATTTTAGCCATGAACTTCTAAAACTTCCACTTGAGGAGCTGATAAGTCTTTGTCTCATGCAATGGCTCTCCATACCAGTGCCTGTGTGCCTTCCCAAAGGTACCTGTGTGTACCTTGTGTTGCATGTTGGGAGACAGAAGATCCTTGGGGATGTCAAGAGGAACATGGCAGAGCTTGCAGCTGGGTGAACAGTCATCTCCGTGGGGGTTGTTCCCTTGCCGGCTCTCTTGCCTCTTGTAAGCATGGGAAGGTGAACCTTAGTCTTAGCAGAGATACATCACTGAAGCTTAGGGTTTCAAACCTAAAGCCAATTTGGGAACACAAGGGCTCTATAAAAAGCATGGCTGTATGTTACTGAGTACTCACACACGTTAAACAGAGATATCCTGAGTTGCAGACGTGGCCTTGCACCTCTGCACATAAAATTGAGCAGATTCAGCCAGAGTAAACGACGTCTCTTAAACTTTAGGACTGGTGCCCCTCATGTCTCACATTCAGAAGGTTACAGACCAGATATTTTAAAGTCAGTTCCATGATGTTCTTGTCTGTGGTCTTTGGCAGAGGTTATAGGTGGGGGTTGGGGAGCAGGGATCCTAAGAGTTAACGAGTTTTAAACTGTATTACCTCTAGGACAAAGCAAGAGGGTGCAAGGGCATGGGGGCGGAATACAAGTTTCATAATCCTGGGACATTTGGAAACCGCCGTTTTAGGTCGGGATTCCACTCAGTTGCCTTTTTGTGAAATCTGATTTCATGTTGCCTTCCACAATGATATGGGAGATTTCACATCTTTTTTCCTCTCCTGAGAGAATTATTTCTTGGAGCTGCTTGTTAGCTTCTTCTGTTTTTCCTGATAGATTCCTTCACCTGGATTTTGTTAAAACTTATTAAGTCTGACCAAATTTGCTTGTGTGTGTTCCCCAAACTGAACGTTTCACCAGAGCCAAGATGGATTTTAGCTTTTCTGACGGCTGATGGATATTTTTCAAGGCGAGCGAGAACCTATGAGCACTTTCTGAATATGATATAGCACATGCCGGTTAGAGGAGAACGCACAGGCCAGGTGTTTGGGGAACAGTTTGTGAAAGCCAATGAATTTTGCAAATGTGTTAGATGATGAAAAGTTCTCAGCTTTCCCAGTTGCAGTGGTCAGGACTCTGTAACTGGAAACCAGCGTGAGAGAATATTTTATTCTCTGCCATTACAACCAGGTCGCCAAGCAATTGGATCGAAGACTAGAAATGCTGATTCCATTGGTCAGTTTGGGGCGGGAGGACATCTTATCACTCCAGCAGAACCAACTCTGGTTTGAGTTTCTCCAGCTGGTGACAGGTGGCCAGCTCATTCCGATGAATTGATTATGCCTGTGGACATGGCCCACTTGATTTATTCCCTCCCCCCCATGCTCTTGTATCCATGTGATCTACTGAATGATCAATGCACCTGATATGGTTATTTCTGAGACATCTTCTCTCTTTTAAAGTTTGGGCTTGCTTTTAGAGCCTTTGATCTGTTATCCAAACTGCCCTCACAGTCCTTTGAAAGAGCACATTAAAAATCCCTAAGACCTGCCTTTTCTCTAGAAAGCACCATTAAGAAAAAGCACCCAGGAGGCCGGGTGCCGTGGCTCACCCCTGTAATCCCAACACTTTGGGAGACTGAGGTGAGAGGATTACTTGAGCTCAGGAGTTTGACACCAGCCTGGGCAACATAGTGAGATCTTGTCTCTATCTGAAAAAGAAAAAAGAAAAGGCATCCAGCAAGAAGGGAATCATGAAGGTTGTGCTGTCCGTGGCACCCAGGCAGCCTCCCCTGGAGGGAAAAGGTTCACACAAGTGGGATGACAAGCCCAATCAGTAGGGCAGGTGATGTGATTGACAGCCCTACAGTGTCAGGGTGCATCTTGACTCTCCACCCTCAAATATTAAGTTTGTCCAGCACTTTTACTGTCATGCAGGGAAGGGTAACATCTATCTTTTTTATAAACTCGATTTTTAATCACTCCCAGTAACAAGTGTCCTGATCTTGCTCATGGCTTTGGCACTGTTGGGCCTCTCTTCCTGGCTTCTCCCCTTCTGGGGCTGATTCTTTCCCTTCTTTGTGTGTTCCTAAGCTCTGCAAATCTTCATCTGCAGTTTGTAACCCAAGGCCCATGTGGGCTCTGGGAGTCTGTGGATGCCCAAATGGAATGTTTTACCTCCCCTTTTTCCCCTCTAAAACTGACTTTTCCCCCAGGGCTTGCTACCTCAGCAAACAGCAGTCCCATCACCACTGGTTGTCTAGAAGCCTGCAGGTCACCCTTGCGCCTGGGCATCATGGGCTGGCTCCTCAAGCCCGTCCACTCGCTTTCCTCCCTGCATGTTGAATGAAGCTTTCGCAGAGCCCTTGCCAGTCAGGGCTCGAGATTTCTCTTCTATTAGTGTCCTGAAGCCCCAGAGCTAGTAGTTTTCAAATTTACAGAAAAGCAGAAAGAATAGTTCGATGAGCATCTGTCTTCCTTTGCTACAACTATGATCATTCTGCCATGCTTATGTTCTGTCCCTCTCCACATATAGTTGTTTTTGTCTTTTTTCCTGAGCCACTTGTAAATAAATAGATATCATGAAACTCCTCCTGAATACTTCAGCAAATATCTTAAAAAAAAATAAGAGCATTCTCTTATATAAGCACAGTATGTTGGCATGCCTCAGAAATGGAACATTCAGGCTGGGTGTGGTAGCACATGCCTGTAATCCCTGTACTCAGGAAACTGAGTTGGGAGGATCACTTGAGGCCAGGAGTTTGAAACCAGCCTGGGCAGCATAGCAGGACCCCCATCTCTTAAAAAGAAAGAGAGGGAGAAAGAACATTCATGATAGTCCATATTCAAAATTTCCCAATTGTTCTCACATGCTTTTTATGACTGCTAAAAAAAAAAGTCCAGGATTCAATCAGCATTCATCCAGTGCCTTTGGTTGTGGTGTCTCTAGTTTCCTTCAATCTAGAGTAGCTTCTTTCTTGTTTACTGTCTATTTTTCACTAGACTTTTTTTTTTTTTTGAGTTGGAGTCTCACTCTGTCGCCCAGACGGGAGTGCAGTGGCCACTCCTGGCCACCGTAGCCTCAACCTGCTGGGCTCCGGCGATCCTTCCGCCTCAGCCTTCCAAGTAGCTGGAACTACAGGCGTGCGCTACCACACCTGGTTAATTTTTGATTTCTTGTGGAGATGAGGTCTTGCCAAGTTGCCCAGGCGGGTCTCGAACCCGCGGGCTCAGGCAATCCACTCACTTCAGCTTCCCAAAGCATAGGATTACAGGATAAGCACCGAGCCCGGCTTCACTAGACTTTTTTTGAAGAGTCCAGACCAGTTGCCTTGTAGGCTGTCCCACAGTCTGTATCTGTCTGTTTCCTTCTGATTCGATTCAGGTGAACTTTGTTGGACGATACTCAGGTGGTAGATATTTTTGTGGCATCACAACAGGAGCACACGCCGGGGGCTTGCCCTCTGTTGGTCATGCCAGGCCTGATTTTGTGACAAAGGCGGTACCCACCGGGCTTTTCATTGCTCCCATCCCCGCTGTAATTATTTAGAAATCTGTGGGGCGATACTCTTGAGACCATTTGAGTATCCTATTCCCCAACAACCCAATACCTTCAGAATTATCAACTGATGATTTTTGCCTGAATCAGTCATTATATTGAGGGTTGAAAGGGTGATGTAAAAATTCTATTATTCTATATTTTTTTGACTGGCATTCTTCTGAAAAGAAGATCTTTTCCTCCCTTTGACTCAGTTTTTGAGTATTACTATAGACTCACAGATTCTTTTATTATTCTTATTCAATATGTTGCAATCCCCTGCTGTCATAATGTTTTTCTGATGCACAAATTGTCCAAATTGTGTCTAGTGGGTGAAGACAGCTCTTATGTCCTTTTGCCATATCCCCGGGGTTCTTTGAGTACTTCTTTGCTTTCTGGCAGGAGATACTCCAGGCTGATCTTTTTTTTACTCTCCTTGCGCCAATGCTGGAATCAGCCATTTCTTTGAATCCTGGTCTGTTACAGCAGGGAATCGTATTTCTCAGTCAAGATCCAGGAACTAGGTGTGCTCATGACACTCAGGTGTCATGCTTCTAGGCGCTTTCAGTGGACAGAGCTAAGACATTGTATGTAATGGAGCCTCCAAGTATAATCATACTTCCACCTTAAATTCAATACCACAGACTTCACCTGTACTGCAATCCATATTTATTTTTCCTTTTCTCCAACAATCTCGATTCCTGTCAATTTCAATATACTTAGTAATTTCTTCCATACTACAATACACGCACAATAGTGACAGAGTTTTTAAACTGATGCCACTGCCAACAACAAACCCACTGAGTGAGGTTCATGATTTCTTTGCAGCCCCTCTCCCCACCTCAGAATATGTTCCCTAAGCGTACACAGTATAGTGGATTCAAAAGTTACTTGACGGCCGGGCTCGGTGGCTCAACCTGTCACCCCAGCACTTTGGGAGGCTGAGGCAAGTGGATTGCCTGAGTCTGCAGGTTCAAGACCAGCCCAGGCAACTTGGCTAGACCTTGTCTCT